GAACATTCCTGGAAAATATGAAAATGTCGTCTTCATTATCAAAAATCCTCGAAACAGGAAAAAATGTAACTCTCAGATCATGAAAAATACAAAATATTATGAAATATCAACTATTTACGAATGCGTCGAAAAATAATCGATGACTATTGTTTGTAATATCTGAATGATTTGTTGGGAATTAAATAGATTTTTTACGATCCGAGTTGAATGTTGCATCTTTCCAAATTTGAATAAACACTACGTTCTTCGGTGTGAGTCGTTTTTAACAATTTTCTTCTTATAGACGCAACAGATAGAAGTAAAATTAGTAGCGATCAAAAGCGCTTTTTTATCGCATTAAGCCTATACCCCCTTTCATTTTTCGCGAACACTCCCTTTAAGGGAAAGTGATTTCATAGAACGACCATTTTATAATTTGATGTAGATTCTAAGATTACAGAGAAAAATCTTAGAGTTATGAACATACATACAAAAGACGGACACAAAAATAGAGATTACTACTTTATATTGAAAGCTTGAGAACCCAGCTTTGCCTGTAGTTTCCCCTGTGGTCGGCGTTTATATCAATACAATGAAGACGACTTTCCAATTTAAGTTTTGATTTCTAACAAACTTTTTGAAAATTAAAAGTTTTTAAACAAATGAAGAGAACCTGTTAATTAAATTTTTATTAATTAATTAAATTAATTAAATTAATTAAATATAATTTTTCAAAGATGATACATGGTGTTTACTAGGTCGCTCAGTATAAGGTTGATTTCAGAGTGTATTTAGTATTTTACTGAAAGAAAAAAATTAGGAAATATTGACAAAATTTGATATCATCTAATAAAAGATTATTAGAAAATGTAAAGTTAATTAGTTTAATGTAAATACTATGAAACAATGAGAGTTAAAAATTACAAGTTTTGATTATAAAATTAAAGAAATTTTGCTTTGCAAAGTGAACATTTGCCCAACTGCAAATTGTTTTTTCTTAATATTCTCATCCCCCTAGTTTCTGTATATTATATACCTGCAGATTTTTTGCCATTGTTTGGCTTTATTATATTTTTAAAACTTTGCAGTACAAAATTTTCCCAAGAAAAAGAGCTTACCCCACAAAATTTAAATCAATTATTAAATATGAAATTTATTGAAAATTGACACTTGCCAAAGTGTTGTTATTTATCTAAAAATTAAAAAATGTCTGTATACGGTTATGTGATTAGAAAATTGCAACCTGTTATTCAATCTTAAAATTGCAACCTGCAATAACGAAATGACTAATGTACCAATAATAAACAATTCTCAAGCTTAAAAAAACGGAATGCTATTTTTTGAATATTATAATATATTACATAGGCGCAACTAGGGGGGGGCGGCCGGGCGCACGCCCTCCCCTAGCACCTGAGAGGGGGGGCGCGCCCCCCCCCCTGCAGAATGAAAAGAAAGAAAGAATGGCGAAAATCAGTATCACAGGAATAAAAAAAACCAATAGAGTTATTGTAGAAATTTTATTACACAATAGTTAGTTTTAAAAAGAATATTTTTATCNAACAAAATAATATATTGCCCCCCCTAGCAAAAGTCCTAGTTGCGCCTCTGATATATTAAATATGTAATTTATTTAAAATTGACACCTGCAAAAGTTCTGCTATTTATCTGAAAATTTTAAAATGCCTACGGTCATGTGATCAGAAAATTGCAACCTGCCAATGGCTGTACGAATCATTCAATCTTAAAATTGCAACCTGCTATAACGAGATGACTAATGTCAGTAATAAACAATTCTCAAACTTAAAAAAAGGAATACTATTTTTGAATATTATTTCTCTTTATATTGTTTGTTTCAATATAATTTCAAATTTTCAACATGTGCGAGTTCCTAACCACTGATATAGCTGTGCGAGTTCCTACTCCCAGTTACGGGCGATTTCGGCCTCCACTATTTTGTGCGTTTTCGGTTTAAACTAATGACAGTCGGTGTCCGTCTGCGCACACCGTAGCAGACAATATGGCGTCTCTTCATACTCTATTGTGATCATGGGAGCAGACACTTGTTATGAGAATATATATGTCAATGTATGTTTAAAGTATGTTTGTAGATGAATTCATGAAATCACTTTGTTTTCTTTCAGTTTCTAACATGTACATGTAAAAAAATATTTTTTTCAAATTTTTTTGTTTCCACGGGCAACGTCAGGCCCTCCAGCTAGTCTATAAAATAAAACAAGACATTCATTTTTTTCCACGGGCAACGCCGTGCCCTTCAGCTAGTATTTTATAAATCATTACTTAAAAATTTTTTCGTATAGAAAAATGAGTAATTTTTATGACACCCGAACCGACTTTATGTCTGAAACTTCTGGTCCTTACTGTTGTAGGAGATCATCAGATTCAAATAATCATTGTTTATTATTATTATTATTATTATTATTATTATTATTATTATTATTATTATTATTATTATTATTATTATTATTATTATTATTATTATTTTATATTAATGTTATAAACAATACACAATGACAAAAAACAAATCATCTTTAAAATTTCTATTTCTCCCGTTAAATTGAGTTCTAGTAGACAATTTTTCGTACAGTTTCAACAGAGGTTTAGTAGTTTGTAATGGGGCCATTGTAAACTTAACATTTTTTTTACTCAGAGTCAAAGTGTCTTTAAACCTCAAAAACCACTTTATTTTAACCAAAAAAAAAAAAATGTTGTAAAATGCAATTTAAATTCTGGTTTTTTATGTTTACATTGGTACTGCTCCTATATTTCATACCTGGATGGGAGGGGGGGG